AATTTTTATCTACATTTATCTACATTTTTATGACTGTATGCATGAAACTTAGCTAATTAGACTCAGTGAAAATTAACTATACTAAACCCATTTCTCAAATACCCAAGTTTACTGAGTGCTATTTAAAAGGAATATACTTTTTCGATATCATCCCTGACAAGCGAAAGGCAGATCCTGAATTTAATCACCACCAGGTAGATACGGAACACAGAAGCATAAGCGTGTATTGTGTTTTGTGTCAGTTTTCCTGGCTAGAATTGTCAGGAGTGTTTGAGCGCTGTGAGAATCCCTCGTTCCCTCACCCTCACCCCACCCCTACACCTGTAGCATGCTAAGAAAATGATTAGCATTGTTCTTTCGAGTTCCAGGATACGTTAGGAAACAACACTCACAACAAGCCCCTCTCCACGAGTTTATGCTAATATGCAGAAGAAGATAGTTTGAACAAGTGAATGATAAAAAGTGTACAATTATCAAATATGCCAGAGGAAAAGTGAGTCTATCACATAGTGCTATTGTGGACATAGGAAACGCTAAGGTTTTGGGGATTAGACACATCCTTAGCGTGTTCCTGGATGTTAGCGCAGAGAACTTGGAAAGAATACAAGCTCTAATGGAGATCATGGAAGGGGGAATTCTAGAGTGCACACGGCTGGCAGGATAGTTTAGGTATGATTTGGGGAGCCTGAGTTCTTCAGATTAAAAAGCACACATCCTGAGTGTTTAAGGAATAGAAACTAGGGATAAAGGAGAGAATAGGCACTAGAAGTGTGTCCCTTTGGACCAACGATCTTCCCCTGTCTTTAAGACAAAGGTTTGCTTGTGACCTGCAACCACGTATTCTGGTGTCAGGCTCCTGAAGCTGTCACCTACCACTGTGGGGCACAAACGTGAGGTCTGTGCTGTTTTATTCGCATCTCCTGCTGCCCTCAGAGGCGGTAGCAATTCCCACCAGTGTCACCTCCCGCTAGGGCAATGTCCCCCTTGTGCATGTCAGGCAAGCACTGGACCTCTGAAGCATAGACCCAGACCCCCAAGCCCCCCTCTCTTTTTCTTCTTTAGTATTATTTTTTAAATTTGAGATAGTATCTTGCTAAGTTTCTCAGTCTGGCCTTGAACTTGTGATGCTCCTGCCTCAGTCTCCTGATTAGGTAAAATTACAGTCCTGTTCTACCAAGTCAGGCCCAAAGTCTCTCTATTTATAAACACACTGCAGGGCAAAGCTGGGTCTTGGACTAAATAACAGGAGTGACCTAAAATATTGAATTTTAGATCTGATTTTGGAAGACTGAGAGAAAAGCATTCTGGAAGACCCTTGTTCAATGTGTGAAAAAGGAGTTTTTCTGTGCTCGTCTTCAAACCACAAGAAATTTAGCCTGGAGTCTCCTGATCACTCAGAGCTAATATCAGAAGTTCTTTTGTTTTATTTTTTGAGAGTGGGCCTTGCCACGCAGCTCAGGTGGATTTTGAACTTAGGATTACAGGTGTGTACCACCATCCATGCCCACCAGGAGCCAATGAGTAAGTGAACCAGAAGAAAGCGGCTATTTTTAGAAGGTGGCGTTCTGTTTGCCATGCGTCATCCCTCATGGCCACAGTGGTGACTCCGTGACTTCTGGAGTCCTCCTAGGCTTAACAGTCATCATGACATCAACACATGATCTTGTTCTCCGGAAGCCTATTACTCCCACAGAGGGCAGATTAGAATGCTCAAGTGTCATGAGTTTTATCCCTTGGACAAGCCTTGGCAGCTTTGCCTTCATCTGGTGGGGACAGATAAGCAAGAAGAGTGAATGTATTCTAACTCAGTGCTCACGTCCATTGGCTGAATCAAGCTCCAAAGAGCAAATTGTTTATCAGATAATGGCGAGGAGAGGGGGACAGCCAAGGGACAGGATAAGGAAAATGGGAGCCATAGCAATAACGCACGGAAAATTTAACTTTGAAGAAACCACTTCCCTAAACTCTAATTCTAAACCCTTCACATTAATCGCCAGCTGCACTCCAGTCCCCTTTAAAGCCAGGGTCTTGTTATGCAGTCCAGGCTACCCTCCGCCCAGCTGTGTATCCCAGGCTCACCTTGAACCTGTGATCCTCTTGCCTTCGCCTCTCGAGTACTAGAATTGCAGGTACCACTACACTTGGCCGTGAGACTTCTTTAGTCAGGATAATGTATTTACAGGGAGGCTGTCTATTGCTCCAAAGGCAGGGTGAAGGTGACCCTACCTGCACTTCGGTCTCAGTCTGCCTTTGAAATCTGCCTGGAGGCAGGATGCGCACCTTTCTCTAATTTTGAGAAGGTCCAGTAATGAGCACAGAGAACCATAAAAGAGATTTAGATAGTGTCTACGAGAGAAGTTTAAACAGCAAAACTGACTCTGCTGGGGGAGAAGAGGAGCTGGGCAGATAATGAGAATGGTTTTGCAGCTACAGCAGTCCTCATAAACATCCAATACTTGCCCAGCTACACTGACGGCAAATATCAGAGGGACAAAAGGAGAGGTGGTCGAAATGAAGTCACCCTGCTCCACGGCTAGAAACCAAGAATTGAATCCAACCCAGTCGCTTCAACATAAGCAGGAAATAAAGCTGCAGGGCAGGGGTCAGGGAAACTGAAATGCTTGCTTGGGCCAAGGTAGCAGTGGAAAGGAGTATCCATCCCCAGTGCGTTTGTTTAGGAGAGCACTGCTGGTTAAAGCTGGAGGGAATTGTCAGGGCAGGCCCAGAGGAGTCCCACCAGGAAAAGGACAGATTTAAAGCTGAAGGTTCGAGTTCAGGATGTTCTCCCGTAAACCTGGTGTTTTCAGTTTAAAGAGAAGAGACTGTTTTGTGGTTTCTTTTCTGTGTCTTTCATCTGTGCTAGACACTGATTCGTCCTGGGGTCTGTCACAGCCACACACATGGCAAAAGCAGAAACCAATGATGGCACAGCTCTTTCCTCCACACTGATGGGCAGAAAGACCACTCGGGAGTTTTCTGAGAAAACTGATAAGTGCAAATTTATGGCAATCGGCTGTATTACTCAGTTTTTCAGGCTACAGGCTCTGGCAGGTTCCTCACTGTTGATAAACTGAGATTTTTTTTTTAAATCATCATTTAGAGTAAATAAAGCTGGAATTCTAAACCATAAATTCAGAGGTGACCTTTTACTTACTTTCTTTATAGATAAACACGTTACATAATTCAAGCACCAATATGTGTGCTTGAGTGTGGATAGAAAATGTCCTTCAAAGGCCTGTGTGCTAAAGGCGTGGCCCCTAGCTTGGCCTTCTGAGAAGGTGGAACCAGCGTGAAAAAGTTAGGTCCTTGGTGGTGTGCCCTTGAAGGGGATATGAAGATGGGACTCAGTCACTTGCTTTCTGGTCATGAGCAAGCGGCTCTCAATTCTGTGTGTTCCCATTGTGATGGCAATGGGGTAAGATATCATGGACTAAAACCTCTGATGCCATCGGACAAAATAAACCTTTTCTACTTGCATGCCCATTTAGCTCAGGGATTAATATTGCTACACCAATGGAATGCTGGCTGACAAAATGGTTTTTTATATTAACTTTCCAGTTTGTCTAAATACTGAAATGGGAAATTTCGAATCCTTCCAAGTCATATGAAAGTCCAGTCCTAAAACTTTGTAGCAGATATGGACCTTTACTGTGCATAAGAAATGCTTTCTAATCAATGTTTTCAGTATTGAGCACTCGATCGCTGTGGGCATTGCGTGTGACATTTATCTTTGAAAGTGCTTCAAATTAAGCTCTCTGGGTCTCACCTACATCCAAAAAAATGTTTCTCTACATATCAGCTTCATGCTTCACACAGACCCAGTTTCCCTTCAGTGTCCATGCCTAAACTGATAAGGAGAAAAATCCTTCTTGGCTTGTGCTTTCTTTACTGTATGTATTATAAAATAGAACATCCTAAGGAAATCCTTAGGATAAAGTCTTACTATGTGGCCCTAACTGGCCTGAAACTATGTGAACCAACTGACCTCAAACTCATGAAGATCTTCCTGCTTGTGTGAGCTTTTAATATCCCACGAACAATCTATTAATGCATTTTGAGAAGATGTATACTTTTGTAGAATGTACCTTGTTTTCACCTAAAGAGGGTGCTGAAATCCTAATATTTACATTTAAAAATGATACTTATTTTTGTTTATGTGTATGTGTGTGCACGTGTTTGTTTGTATAAGGACCCCATGCACGCACATGTCCACAAGGCTAGAAGACGGTTGGACCCCTGGAACTGAAGCTACCAACAGTAGTGGGCTGTCTGGTGTGGGTTCCTGAAATCAACCCAGGTCCTCCACAAGAACAGCGAGCGCTCTTAACTGTTGAGCCATCCCTCTAGCCCCCTTCATATACATATTTTTTAATGTTCCACACAACATGAAATTTGTTTCTAAACATGGCAATTTCCTATCACAGGCATAAGATTCAAGAGTAACAAGTGTGAAATTTGTTGAAATCTACTTCAGTTATTCTTCTTCTTCCTGGAACAGTATTTCAGAGGTAAAGTCTACAGTTTATATTATGCCTTGAAGACAATTTGTTTCCTTTACAACTAATGCTAGGTTTAATTTTCATTATATTTAAACAGGAGGACCAGATCAAACTTTCAGAGGTGATTTGGGCTTAGTCCCAACCATGAAATATCAATCTATTATACTGTTAACGGATTAATGGGCTAATGGACTGTACCAAGGATGGGTTTGTTATCGATGCTAACTTGAGCCTGGTGTGGCAGGATGTGTGTATAATTCTAGCACTTGTGAGGCTGAAGCAGAAGGATCAAAAGTTCCAGGCAACCTTGGGCTGTGACGCAGGCTTGGTCTTTGATGTACACAGCCCGTCTCTCATTATGCAATGTTCTTAGCCCCAGTAGGAGTCACTGGGTTCTGAGCAAATTCTCACGCAGAGATATGCACTATAAAGCCCTTCTTAAGAAATCGCACACCCCAGGTATTTGTTTATAGCAATATCAACCGGACAAAGATGGCTTACCTGTCTCGCTTCCTATCAAAGGCTGGTTTGCAAAATGCTTGACAAAATCCTTTAAAGTTGAATATTCATTAAAGCCAAATTTAAACGAGTACCCAGTGTATTCGACGTGAAAGTGTTTGACAGAGTCTTTGCCTCTGAAAGAAAACAAAAGTGCTTAATGTTATTTAAAAAATGATGAGTCTTTTTGAAGGCAGTGAGCATCACCACCAGCTTTTGAGAGCGCGGAACATAAAGCCATCCGAATACTAAGAGTTTTAAGGCTGTCCTTCATTTCTTCTGGCAGAGAATACTTTTAGCTTTTCACTCCCCCAGAAGGGAAGAGATGGTCCTCCATCTCCTCTTGGACTGACCACAAGGGCTCTTGAACACTAATGTCCATAAAGCATAAATTCAGGAAGACAGAGGTGACAGAATGACGTATTTGTCCTTGGTACTCCCTTGTCTGGGAGTCAGTCAGAAGTCCACTTCTGTCAGTGAGGTATACGTCCCTCGTCTTCTCCTCCCTTGCCTCTGAGACTGTCTACTGAATAAAATGTCACATTTCTAAGGCTGTCATTTTTGAAATAAAAAGTATTCATAAGCTTTCTCCCCCCCTCACTTTATTGGTCCCCGTTTAATCTTCCTAGCCCCACCCTCACTGTATCATCCACACCCCAACTTCGGAATGCATCAGAATCTACTGTAAGGTTGGCTCAAACCCCCAGACAAAGACTCGACAGGTGGAAAGTAAGCCCTCCTTCTGAATTTAGGTTCTAAGGGGCTGTCAGTGGACGCTCTGTCAGTGGTCAGCTTCAGGACCCTGTCCATCTGGACCTGCTGCTCTTCTAGGAGTTATTTCCACCTCTGCTCCTTACATCCAATGTCCCTTTCACCTTCCCCTTGGTCTCTGCTGGTAGAAACCCTCGCTACCCACTGAGTTTTCCAGTAAATTCTGCCTTCTCACTGAGAATCGTACGATAATTCTGGCTCACATTGAGTGCCGTTTGACTTCTCCATCACCCAAACACTTAGCCTCCTTCTTTGATGTTATTCCTGCATTCTCTTCTGTAACAAGATTTGGGGTTTATGGGTGCTGTGAGTCTGTACACTTGCCAACACGGTCTCTGAATTAAGATGGCTGGTACAGAATGCATGCTTTCAAATATCTATCATCAAGGGAATGAACAAACAGATGAATAAAAAATAATCATACCTTTCAACAACTGGCCTATGGAGTCTGTCACCTCTGCTGGTAGCTTTTCCCCGCTAAGTGTTACCAAGTATTTGTAATGAAAACCAACAGCTTATATTTTAATTTTTTAGGAAGATGAAATGCATGCAATCTGTTTATAAACAGTTTATGATTAGATGAGCCACACATATAAAACATTAATTATATCTGTTATTCAATAATTATACGTTTATTATCCAATCTATATGTTTATTTGAGATATTTGGGAGAACTGTGCGCTACAGCACCCTAACAAGCGGTCTCCCTGTCGTAGGCTCACCTTCACTGTCAAGAAGAGAAAGCAAGAACTTTTCCCCACTAAAACAGGATTCCATCTTGGACTGGTAGTTTTTGCATCCCCATTCTTTATTTTCTCTTTGTGATGATGTATATGTGTTCACACGTGTGCAAAAGCACATGTGTGCATGTTTGTGGAAGCCCGGGGTTAACCTCAGGGGTCATTTCTCAAGAGTCTTCTACCTGCAATTTTTGAGACAAGGTTTCTCACTGAACCTGGAATTCATGGACTCAGCAAGGCTGGCTATGGCCAGTGAGCCCCAGGGATAATTCTGTGTCCTCCTCCCTAGTTCTGGGATTACATACTAACATGCTCAGTTTTTATGTGGGTACTGGCAGTCAAACTCAAGCTATTCTTATTTTTTCTTGCATAGACTTAACTGCTACTGAATGAGCTATTACCTTAGCCCCTAGTCCTGATACTTAGAGAATGTATAAATAAAACTTGCTAGGGTAACATCAAAATATTAGTAGATATACCTCCCCTTTCGTTGCCTGGATTCTCCCTCACTTTCTATCTATCTCTCCCTCCCCTCTTCAAAGAGGCATGTAGACTCACTGCTAGGGAATGAAAGGCTTGGCAGGGAGCATTCATAGATGCCCCAAGCCTAATCCCATGGAGTGTATATCCCTGTTCCAATTATCCAGGTAAAAACTAATCTAGATGGAGTGGTGAAAAGATTTCACGGTTCGTTAAATCTTTAAATTGGTTCATCTTAAAATAGGAAGATTCCCTGTGTGGGCCTGACCTCTTCACATGAGCTCCGTGAAAGAGAACCCTCTCTGTCCCCAGAAGTGGACATCAGAGAGATGAGCTTGGGCTGCCAGGAAGGCAGCACACATCCATGCTGAGAACATCACGCAGGCCACATAGCATAACCTAAAGTGGAATCTGTCGGTCCATGCTGGTCCTTGAAAGGCAGCTAGGAGAACAGGGCCCCAGCCATACCACAGCAGGGAAATGAAAGCAAAGCATAAAAGGCAAGGAGGAAGTTAACAGTGAGATGCTGAGTTCCAGAGACGAGCCCCAGCTGCAGCTGGCAGCCTTATTTCAGGCTGGTAGAATTTAAATAGAGAACCCACCCATGCTCGGCCTGGACTTGAACATATGCAGAGAGAGTGGTATGATCAGTTTGTGTTGTTGGAAGCTGTTACATTTTCTGGTAATTTGTCATGTTTAGGGAAATAATTTTTGGATTTGTTTGTGTGTGTGCATGCATGAATGTTCACCTGCATACATGTGTACTTGTATGTGACTGTGGAGGTCAGAGGCCAGCCTTGGTTTTTGTCCCAGACACCAGTCACCTCTGGCCTTGAACTCACGAAGTAGACTAGGCTGGCTATCCAGTAAGCAGTATCTATTTCCACAGCAAGAGGATTGATAATATATAATACCATTGCTGATTTCGTGATTCCCTCCCCCCATTCCTTTCTTTCCGGTCTTGGGACCCAAACTCAGATTTTTGTGCTTTCAAAGAATGCACTTTACCAACTAAGCTGTCTCCCCCAGTCTGAGAAATACTTTCTTATTTTCTTATCCAGTTTTCAGTTTGCTCCCAATCAGAGAGAAGGGAGGAAGAGAGGGAGACGGAGAGAGAGAGATGAGGGGATTAAAAACAAAACCTCACACCAAATAAACCAATTGCTTCACTAGATGGAAAGGAGATGCAAACAGCAGCAGGGGTACAGCCAGGGTCCCACAGGAAGGGGGGACGCAGGGGGACCACAGAGGACCATACTGGCTTGAGGGAATGCACTGAGAAGGGACCGCATGACTTCCAAGTGCTCCTGGATTTGTGGAGGTGCTGCCACAGTCGTACAATGGCCATCATTAGTGGAAAACCTGTAGAACCTTTACATACCCAGTTGAAATGACAAGAACCCAAGGAAACTCACTGCTTACCACTAGACCCCAGGGTGCCAGGGAGGGGCTGAGGGCTACAAGCCAGGTGCAACTCAGAGGAGCTAGATTAACTCACCACGTGGGGAAACTTTGAAAAAATGTAAAGTTGTACATTGTCTACTTCAGTCTGTGACTATGAAAACTCAGGGTTACAAATCATTTTGGCTTCCTCAGGTAAGAAAGGAATAGCAAAAAAGAGCTGAGTCCAGGAACTCAGATGACAATGTTGTTTTCATTGCTGATTGAATAAAGCCAGACAGCCCACCACTTTGGGTTTCAGGTCTTCATGTGTCCAGTGACAGGTTAAGATTAAATAATTTCCAAAGTCTCATTTGGTTTTGACACATTTTTCCTGCTAGTGAATGGAACAAGAAAGATGTGTATGTACCTCTGTGTGTGTGTGTGTGTGTTTGTTCCTGTAAGTGCAAGTGCCCATGTAGATCTATAAGATCTTCTTGAAGCTTGAGTTACAGGCTATTGTGAACTGCCTGGCATGGATGCCAGGAACTGAGCTTGGATCATTTCCAAGAGCCCAATGCTCTCAGCCATCGATCCATCTCTCCAGCTTTGAGAAGATTTCTTCACAGTCTTACTATTCCGAGTTTGAAATCCTTTAATCTGGTGACTCAGCAGGAATCAGAGAGTTTACTGTCTGGCAGTCTGAGTGCTGTAAAGTGAACAGTCGACAATGGGACCAAAATCTACCAAGTCCTAAAGCACCTACCTCACGGAGAGAGAATAGAGTCCGGTCTGCTCATTGCTGTCCCTTAGTAGGTAGCTACCATCACGTCCATTGGAGAGGAGAAGCGCCTCAGCTGCATGGCGTGTGAGGTTGCCATGATACCACCTACAAAAAAAACCAGAAGAGGACTTTCCTTCGGGATGAGCCACGGGCAATCCTTCTCTGGAGTTTCTTCTCAAAGATTAACTAGCAATATTTTCCATCTTAAGGATGTCAGAGGCCAACCTGTCAATCCCAGCACAAGGACAAGGAAGCCCCTGGATGAGTGTGAGGGAAAGAAGAGGTCCATAGCTGCGCGATATAGGCCCATTATGTGCTGACAGTTCCCACATCATCCAAACCTCCAGTTCCTAAGAATGCGACCTTATTTGGAGAGAAGTGAAAAGGAGGTGAGTCTGATGGGCTCATATATGGATTCTAGTGTGGTTGGAATCCTGTAAAACAGGAAAGCTGAGGAGAGATTTCCATGTAGGAGAATGCTGTGTGACCAAGATGGCAGCCAGAGAGTGGGAGACCCCAAACTGGGTCTTCTTTACAACCTTCTGAAGGAGCTGACCTCAGAGATGCCTCGGTTTTGAACTTCTAGCCCTCAAAGCTGTGAGGGAGAGGATTATTCTTTGCCAAACCACCCAGTTTGTGAGGTGGCCCCAGTAAACTAACAGTGTTTAAAGAGCCCAAGCTAAAGCAGCCATAGCAGAGGCCGGGGCGATGGACCAGTGTTCCTGTCATTACACCCTGGGAAGACAGAGAAAGGGGATCTCCAGAGCAAGTTTGCTCACCAAGACCAATCCTACCCACAAGCTCTGAGTTTAATTGAGAGACGTCGCCTCAGTGGGTAAGGTGGAAGAGCTATGGAGAAGGATTCCCAACATCAACAAACCGTTCACCTTCACATCACTGCTCCGTAACATACACATGTCCACACACATGCAAGCATGTGCACATACACACAAGCATGACAATGGAAAAAGAAAAAGAAATAAAAACAAAACAGCTGCAAGAGCTTTGACCAGTTTCTCCCTCTTCTGTCCTCTGTCACTCTTTCCCAAGCGCAGGACAGTTTTATGAGAAGGAAACCAAACTGCCCTACAGTCCATGGTCACGAGAAAAATGAGGCTGGGCACAAAGAACCCTGCTGTTCATAGTGAGCATTGGCCTGTCAAGCCAAACACTGTTTCAAGTTGACGAACATCTGAGGAGTTGGGAAAGTCCCAAGGAGATTTCAATTGATCTTTTCATGGGCCTGTGTTTTCAATTGATCTTTGTGGTTTAGAAAAGGCAGTGCATATATGTGGTGAAAAGAAGACAGTTAACAAAAGTCCTTTTCTTATCCTCGAGCCTCAGCTTCCCTGTTTCTTTCTGCAGGAGACAGTTTACCACAGACCTGTGTCTCATGTGCCCATGCATGAATTCAGCTAGCATTTAATTCTGGCTTCAATCACAGATCCCTAATTCTACAAGGATAAAGAACACTCTAGGCCATGGCTCTGCACCTTGGACCTTTATCCTAGTGACAGGTCCTTCACTTAGTCTTTAAGAACATCATTGTGGCAGTGCAGTGTGGTAACTGGGGTAGTGACCCCGGAGCCATGTTGTCTGGGTCCTAATTCAGGTAACGCCTTTCTCTCAAAGCAAGACTTGAGGCAATTTGTTTCACCTGCCTGAACCTCAGCTCCGTTATATTCAAAATCAGAATAAGAGCAGCTGTATATCCCAGGCCAGCGGTGAGAACTGCTCATGTTCACAACAGTGAGACACGTCAGTACTCAGTAGGTTAGTCACTGTCACGAAGCGGCGAGAGTCACTCAGCTGTACCTAGCGAATTCTCCAGTATGATATCCCTTTCCTTATTCTAATTTGTATCATTTCCATTTACTTCAGATAATAGAAAGCTAGGTACAAGCGGTACGAGAGGTAGCTGCCAACTGCAGGGACCTCTAGTCCCAGGGTGCTGGTGACGGTGAGGCAGAGATGGCCAGTCCTTCAGATAATACCGTCATGATGAGATAAACAGTGTTCAGGAGGCATCTGAAGGAACATCTTTTTGCTAACAGCACAGGCATCCGTGGTGATGTGGCGGTGCACGAAGCGTCAGCCTGGGCAGTGAAGAGTAACCGTGAGACCGTGGAAGGAAGTTGCTCCCTGTGTCTCCCACTCGCCCGGTTCCTGACCCTGCAGTTGCTAGTGGCCCTTTCTTCAGCAGAACCCTCTCATAGGTGGAATTACACAAGGTGAAAGCACCCGGATGTATCCCTTCTCTGTCTGTCCATCCATCACCTTTACCTACCCTTTTTTATCACAGGCTCTTGTTTCCTTTGCTACCCAGAGCCCTCATCCCCTCTGAGGACCTTTTAAGTTTTGCATTTTGCATTCTATCTAAAAGTTAAGTTCTGATGTGCCAAACAGAGAGGCACTATGTCTGTCTGGTCTTGCCATGGGGGCCCACCTGAGCGAGCTCCGGGCTCTTTGGAATTGCATGAGGGAGCTCACACAGAGCCTGCTGGGGGGGGGGGGGAGCTCCCCACTGTCATTTCTCCCTGCACCTTTCTAAGACTGATACTTTTAGAATGAAGTGCAGTAAGGAACCAGGTGACTAGCGGGCAATGCTAAGAGAAGACATGAGCTAATGAGAGCCTCCATCCATCTTAGACCCAAGCACATGGGGAACAGAGTGAGCAATGCTGGGAGAGGAGGCCATGCTTTCGCTGGAATCTCTTCTTCAGTGGCTCCAGCTGCTCCAAACGCTTTAGCTTAGGAACCACGTGGTGTCCCCCCCCCCAGCAGAAACTTCAGGTTGTCACGTGTCAAGATGACGATATCAAGAGTCACAATATCCAGAGAGGAAACCTTATTTTCATGAATTGAGATGTTACCTTCTAGTATACATTTTCCCAGTTCCCTAACTTTTGCAAAAAAGAACAAGCTGCAAACTTTACTAAATTATATACCACTAATATGCCAGACATTCTCCTAGCCACTGGTAGTATTGGCTATGCAGTTTAGAATAAACTGCTTATTTTCCTACTTCAAGTCTTTTGGTCTTACTTTCTGTAGAGAAACAAAGTCAAGACATTACTACTGGTAACTGTGTTTTAGAAGCAATGTGCTATAAGTCACCTTTTATCCCTACACGAGAGCACAGTTGCAAGGTCCGTGGCATTAACAGAGCATAGGCAATCAGACTTGAACAGCACGTTTCTTGCCTGGGTTTGTAAGAATATCAAAACTAGCAGTTGACCTTGGAGGAAACAGTGGTGTTATCTCCTCCCTGCTGCAGCAGCAGCAAATTAGGAAACACCCACCCACTAAATAGTTTTCATAGCTGCCTCTCAGTGAGGTGCAGGAAATAAATTCAACCACAGAGAACACAGGTAGGCTGGATCCAGTAAGCTTGCTTCCAATTCAGCCCTGCTGCCTTCATCCCAGTGTCCTTTGGATTTTAGGGTTTTAGTTTGCTGGTCTAAGTTTATGTATCATTTATGCTCTGTCCTTTGAAGAACAGACTTGAAAACTTTCGAAATAACACATGGTATGTGTCATTGCATGCACGCACACGCACACACACATACTCATGCACGCACACACACACACACACATACTCATGCACACACACGCACACACACATACTCATGCACACACACGCACACACACATACTCATGCACGCACACACACACACACATACTCATGCACACACACGCACACACACATACTCATGCACACACACGCACACACACATACTCATGCACGCACACACACACATACTCATGCACACACACGCACACACACATACTCATGCACGCACACACACACACACACATACTCATGCACACACACGCACACACACATACTCATGCACACACACGCACACACACATACTCATGCACGCACACACACACACACATACTCATGCACACACACGCACACACACATACTCATGCACACACACGCACACACACATACTCATGCACGCACACACACACACATACTCATGCACACACACGCACACACACATACTCATGCACGCACACACACACACATACTCATGCACACACACGCACACACACACACATACTCATGCACACACACGCACACACACACACATACTCATGCACACACACGCACACACACATACTCATGCACGCGCGCACACACACACACACATACTCATGCACACACACGCACACACACACCTGTGTCTGTATGTGAAGAACACCCACACCAGGTGGGGCTCTGTGAGTTCTAGGACAGCCAGAGCTACACAACAAAACCCTCTCAAAACAAACACACAAACAACAACAACAAAAAAAACAAAATAAAGCAATTCAAAAATGAAATGTTACAAGAAAAAAAATTATCCTTTTGCATTCTATTTACTTCTATATTTTTAATATTTATTTTGAACAAATATTTATATCAACCACTGAATTCACTACCAGACCACTAATGATGTTGCCGCTGGAAATCAATGCAAAGTCTTGCTACTCAAAATCTGGTCTGGTCACCTCTTCAGCACTGACATCTTGCTAGAAATATATATATTCCTGTCCCCCAGGCCCCTGACCTGTTGCAGCCCAAACGATAGTGACCCCGCTAGGAATTTGAGAAACATAAACATGAAAGACCCTCGATCCTGAGACCTTTCATTCACTTCAGGATCCCTAATGGCTTGAGTTTGATGTTTGACATTGGGAGAAAAGAGCGAGGCAAAGTATTACAGGAGAAGGGTCTTCAGACTAGCACAACCAGAAACCCCTCACGGCTGACATCTTAGTGCTGCGTGGTACTGGATCTTGCGGGAGGCAGGAAAGATCCAGAGAAGCTTCATGAAGGAAGGAGATCGTGACCTGGGCTTAAGAACGGATATTTGATCTGTTAGGTAGGGAGAGAAAGGACATCTCAGGAGGAAAGTACACAAGCAAAGACATTGGAGTCAACTTATGTATGACACACAGGGACAGGACAATGCCTAGCTGAAGCACTGGGTCCATGTTGGGAGTCATGCAAAATAATGCAAGAAAAGCTGCTGGTTTGCATATTCATTGAGGGTGTTTATTGTCTCTTTTCCTCCCTCTCCCCCCCTCCTTCCTGGCAGTACTGGAGGGTT